GCATGCATGTATGTATGTATGTATGTATGTATGTATGTATGTATGTATGTATGTATGTATGTATGTATGTACACAATTTTTCCCAACTATCTTATCCAACAAGGTGGACGTAACTGGCCATTTTTCGCATGTAGACTGAAAAATCTTTGATATAAGTTCAATTTACAATGGCAAGTACGCTCACGTTTGCAAGGATAGTTGTGTTTTTGGCTCCCAGGCTCGAACAATAAACTTTATTTGTTCGCTTCTCCAAGAGGTAAACTTAGATTTAGGAATCGCCAATGACCGGGCCTGGGAAAAGTCCCGCAAAACTTGTGCGAGTCACCTGTTGCGGACTCGCGTTTTGTCTTTAGCGTTAAGATAGCAGTAGTTCTGGTTCGTTCATTCTGCTATAGTGGAGTTGGATTTTACTAAGTCAAGATTTGTATGACAGACTTTATCGCAGCAAATCCAGGAGTATAACGGTGTGAAAGAACGTTTATCAGAGCAGGACGAGATGATTACAGACTTGGAGACGCGCTTAAAAGAACGAAATGATATTCTGCAACACGACAAGCATAAATACGTGACAGAAATAAAACATCTACGAAGTGAGGTAGGTGAAAAAGACTGAAACTGAGATACGCACTTCCAATGGCCAGTCACAAGGAATTTGAGGCTTAAAAGTTACGTTCCACCATTTAGTTCCAATGTGGGAGACTTGGTGGCTTAGTTACTAACCCGTTAACTCCCGAGATCTCTTTGTTAATTCTCCCCTCTAGCTGCTACACATTTCCTTGTAAATTAATTACAAGAATTTGCGTTGGATCAAGAGAACAACTTCTATCTGATAAGTTGAGTATTCTCGTTGCCTCTTTGCTGCATAATGGCATAATGTATGGATATTATAGGGAGAAGTTACATGTTAATCACTTCGGGAAGTTAAAGGGTTAATGCTCGGGACTCCAGGTCATTGCCTCTCTCCACCCAGGAGTGTAAATGAGTACCGACGAATCCTCAGGGAAGTTTAGTGTAGTGCTGGGGGGGGGGGGGGGAAGCGGGGGGTAACTTTCCGATAGACTAGCATTCCATCCAGGGGGCAGTGTTAATACTCCAAGTCGTTACATGCAAGGGAAACCAGGACATGCTCTCCGGCTAAGTAGGCCCCTTGGCCGAGTTCAAACTTAACCTATCTCGTTTTGAAGGTTTTTATCCTAATTTCCGCTTTAGGTGCAACAGTATAAAAGTGGATTTGATGAAAATAAGCTTAAAATGCGTGCGTTGGAAAACGAGCTTCTTCTGGCTGCCAAACAGTTAGAGGAGGAACGCTCTAGACATAGAGAACTGAAGAAGAAGGTGGAAGAATACGAAGAAGAAAAAGGTGTACATAATCGTCAATACGAACAAAAGATTTCCCAGTTCCAAGAAGACATGGAAGAGTTGAAGAACAGGCTGGTGGAAGTTACAAGGTATAGCGATTGAAACGACTCTTTTGGCTGGTAGATATTTGTCTTGATTGTAGAAGCACTTGTTTATCGGTGAGCATATTGGACTGAGCATTTAAGGTCCGAGTTCGAGGCCGCGGAGTCATTGTTCGGGGTTCCATACCATACCATGGGAAAGATATGTAACTTTCACAGTGCTATTTTGTACCAAGACGTAAAAACTGGTACCATTCAGGGAAAGTTATGGAATTCTGGGCGGATTCAATTTTGTCTTTGTGGGACACACTGAGAAAATTAACGTTTTCTGTGTAGGTGGTATATAAATCTGCAAACGTTATAAGTGAGAAGTGAAATTCAGCAAGGATTTAACTGGCATTAACTTGAAACAATGAACCCAATAGCAGTGAAAATGCAACCGATTCGCGGTCATTTCCTGACATTTTCCTTGTAGCTGCCATGGATTTCCTTAATGGTAAACTAGAGGATTACTTTGAGTAAAGTTTGAATGACACCCACTGCACTAGCTGATGAGAGTATTTATTCTCGTCTCCTGTTTACTGAATACCGTTGTAGTGATTCTTCAACAAGAAGGTTAACTTTGATCACTTGTTTTGTTCTAGAGAAAAAGCGGAGTTATGGAAGAAAGCAGACGACATGGAGCACGAGATCAAGGTGAAAGCGGACGACAGATGGATGGACGACAGTGAAGCCTCTCAGTGCCTCAATTGTAACGCTGAGTTTTCGTTTCTCCTAAGAAAGGTGTGCTCCTGAAACAAAATTTCATTGAACTAAAACAATGGAATACAGTGGCGGATCCAGGGGGAGGGTCCGGGGATCCGGTCCGGACCCCCCCCTCCCCCCGCTATCAGACCTGACGCTTACAACTTTGATACTGAAATTCTTACATCCGCAGGATCGTATATCACTTTTTAAATGGCTGATTTTTTAAATTAATGAATCCAAGTAAACGGTAAGCGGCCAAGGAATTATAACGTGCAACCGCGACTGGTGGGAGGGGGTGTGGGGGAGAAGTAATTTGCCTCAAAAGAGTCCAACAGTCCTTTCTGAACCAAAGTTTGGATCCCCCGTATCAAAAATTCCTGGATCCGCCCCTGGAATAAACGACTTCACCCTTGTGGGTAAGACACTGTATCGTCACAGTGCTTCTTCTCAGCTCACTCAACGAGTTGTCACGCAATCTTGAAACATTTAACAATGATTCTAGTACATTTTGAGAAGTTGGATAATGACTTAAAATTGAAAGCACAAATTTCCTCCATTATCCAAGAAAGAGTGTAAGCTTTCCTTTCTTGTTCGAAAATAGTTACGAAGAAATACGCTTTGTGGAGGGAGAGTGAGAAGCTGTGTTTGTAGTAATGTTTTTTTTTTTTTTTTCCTGTTCTTATCAGCATCATTGTAGAGTGTGTGGTCGAATTTTTTGTCACAACTGCTCCAACAACTGGATTCAAACACCGCACAGCAGGTATGTCTAGTTTATTAGCTTTAAAGCGGTTTTTCGTATGGAGTCCAAAAATGTAAAACCAAAGTTATCACAACTGTCAATCAACGCAAATGTAAACATCGGAAAGAGCCAATGAGAACTCAAAGAAAATAGATGCGATCGTCCCAAGCGCGGGAAAACGTTAGCAACCGAGACGCGATTGGTTGTAGTGTAGTATTTGGTTGATTGAGAAGGATACTCACAATTTCTTTACCAGTTGCTGAGTAGACAAACACGGGAGTTCTGAATTGCGAGCTTTAAAGAAATTGTTCAAAATCATAAAACTGTGAGGTGGCACATGAAAGTTCGGTTTGTAGCCTGCTGGGTTGTTTGGCTCCAAATTCCAGAATTAATTCGCAGTTACGTAGTCGGTAAGAGAGGAAGTAACCAGGTGGTTAATGGGTAAGACTCTTGATCCTGATGTCTTGGTGCGAGCCCAGGCACGGTTATTGCGTTGTATCTTTATCTTGATAAAGTCTCGCTCGGCCGAAGGATTCTAATGGATACCAGCAAACTGTTAGAGAAACCAATAGAAAATCTGGGGGTTACCTGCGGTAACCTACCAACACAACTCCAGGGCTGTAGAGATACCCCTAGTGACATCATGTTAGATAGCTAGCATATGCTACGGCCAATGCGGTTATCGTAATGTAGATTTCTTCTGGTTTAGAAAACTCCGTCGTGTTTGTGAAGATTGTTCAAAATCTGACAAACGGCTTAATGCTCAACTGGTGGAAAATCCTCCAGATGTGGACGACGATGCAACATCAGACGTCAGTGACTTGCAGTCAAATCGCAGGGAAAGCCTGTTGAGTGGCCAGGATGACGAAGGAGGCCTGGGCACTGATGACGACCCTCAGCCTGGTAAGTGACAAAATTTGCTTAGTGTGACACCCATGGGCCTTCTTTTTGTCACACAACAGTAGATAAGCGTGACAAGAAAATTATCAGTGTTTCGTAATAAAGAGAGACCAGGATATGGATTAAAAAATAGGATGAAAATGGCCCAAATTCTTTACTTTATGTGCTGTTGGTATGTGTCCAAAGAATGAGACAGTTTAGGGTTGATATTTATCAACCTCTTTGGTACGCTTGAAGAATATGGTTGTGATAACAAAATATTAATAATTATTATCCAACTACACCTAGACGAGTACAATTAACGCCATAGACGAGTACAAATATCACGCGGTATTTGTACTCGTCTATTGTAGAGTACCGGTTAAACAGGTTTTCTCGCATCGCGCAAGCGAAGAATTGGATTGTAGTTACGAAAAAAAAAA